CACACACACAGACACACACATAACCTACTGTCCACAGAGGAAATGTACTATCCTTGGTTACCATTTCACATTTTCCCACCTGGACATTGAGTCCTTTTTTTTATTCATCAAAAGTGTGTGTTATTTCTTCATATTATTCTTATGCTTTAGTGTCCTTCCATTCAGAATAAACTGTGATAACAACAGTAACGGTGTTTGCATTATTGACACACACACACACACACACACACACACACACACACACACACACAACACACACACTAATCTATTGAAGCTGTAATGACTTTTTATAGTGTACATAGTACAGGGCTTTTATTAGAACAAATAGAAAAGGGTAAACAATATGCCTATTAATTGGTCAAAGCGTTGCCAAGACTTTGAGGAAAAGTCTCTCTATTGCAACATGCAATTCAGGTATCATGACACTTGTTTTTCTACTAACATTTTGTAAATGAGTCACATTGTCAAGCACCCATGACAAGTTACTGTTTCTGCAGCACACTGGATTAAAAAACCCCAACGTTAATATGTGAATTATTTGAGTTTTAACTATTGCAGGGATTATGTATAAAAAACAAAATGGATAGGCATTTAGTAAATAATCAGTTTTGTGAGAAGGAGAATAAAGTCATCTGTAATGTGCTACTGTATAATCAATATCAGCCTGAGGCAACAATCTCAGATGCTGCAGCAGTGCAATACTGGCCAAAATCCGAGGGTTCACTCACCACAACTCATTATTGCCATGTACACTGATTGTACAAAACAGTGGAGACATCCTCGTATTGGAAATTGTTCTCTTTATCTAAATCTCCTCTTTTTAAGTGGTATAGATACAAGCTGTATAATGGTTGCTAAATTGACTGTCCTCATCAGTCTACTTCCTGAAAAGAAGTCAGACTAATATTTAGCATGTGTACATAGCAGTGTAACATTACCATTCAGTATCTTTGAAGCTGTATTAAGAGGGTTTTTTTTGAGGATAAAGGCTTGACTGCAAGAAATGAGGGAACTATTGATCAAAGATGAGTGTTTTTGCTGGACTGGCATTGCTAAGCAAGTGTGGGATGGATTTATGGCTTCATTAGTTTGTGTTTGGACAGAGAGCAACAGTGACAGACTGTGGGATAGAAACTGATAGGGGTCTCTGAAAGACTGACCACAATCCTGGCCACGTTAATAAAAAACATAAATCAGGTAAAACATTGAGAGAAAAACAAAGTGGTAATGGAGTGGTGAATAATAATAAGGCAGTCTATGTATCAAATCGTGAGAGCATTGAGGTTTTTTAAATTAGTTGAAATTAGCAACTGTTGACACATTTACGTATATTTGGAAACTTTTCTCATCATCTCCACTCACTTATGATGGGTAAACAGGCTTTGCATATGTTTTCTATTTCATCCTCATTGTCATTCAGGGGGAGCATGCATGCACCAACATCACATACCAACCGCTATGTTTGGGGCCATAACGGATGAATTGCCCGAGGACAGACAGCCAATCCTTTCCCACAGCAATCTGAGTAATTGTGTTCAGGCACAGGGACGCTGTTGGATTCTCTCTGCAGCCAACAGGCAACCTTTTGACTCATCCTGGTTGTTTAACTGACCTGAGGATACTAATACCAGTCCTCACACAGAGCACAGCAGCATTGTCTTGCCTTGTTCCCCTCAGCACACAGTCTGCGAACAAACCTTGTCCATGCATTCAAAGTATACATTAAAAGCATAACTGAGGTAAAGTAGAAGCATCTATCACCCACTTGATTAATTCAGTTAAAGTCATGCCTCCGCTTCTCTGCGAGAGGCCCTTGAGGAGCAATTATGTCATTTAGAGAAAACAGACATTTATCTCTCTTAGCATAATGGTGTATGGAAGGAGAGCATTAAAGAAACAATAGCAGCACTGGTACACCACCATCCTTCAAGACCACTGCCCAAACAATAGAAAAGAAAGAGAAAAGTGTGAGTCAACTTTTTCAATGTATTTCTATCAAATCAATTACGCTCTTTGTGAAGATATATTCAATAAAACTGACACAGCTGTGTAAGCACTTGAACTGAACACTGAACTCCAGTGATCCAACAAAAGATGAGACTTAATAAATAAACCATTGTGACAGCGCTTCCTCGCTGTTTTGCCTCTAAATCTGGGAAAATAACCTTTTTTTAAAAAACTTGGTATTAATAAGTAAACAGTTATATAGCACTGGTCCTGCACATTTATCACAAGGAGATACTGCTGGTTCACCAAGATCAAGAATACAATTTAAAGTAGCACACATTTTGAGCACCAGACCTGCATGTTTTTATCTGAAGTCTAAAATTGCCCTTTAAGACTGCATCCCATTCATCCTCTCAAGCTAAATAAGATGCATGTTGTGGTTTTATCTGTAAATATGGATTTTTGTTCTTATGTCTAGAATCTTTGAACACACACACACACACACACACACACACACACACACACCAGTGATTTTTATATGTATAATTCATATTAACACACTGATATAGCGCAATATGTACACAGAAGTGCTTTTCTCTGTGCTTTTCTCATAGAAAATATACATCCTCAGTCTGTTGACCTTAACAGCGATGAATAATGGGATCATAAAGCATTTAATGGGCCCACTGGAATTTATCAGATGCAGACAGTCCCCTTACTTAGCAATAAAATGATTACATGGTGTGCTGAGCCCAGACTGACAGTTCATGGCTAATTTAATTAAAGCCTCATTTATACAGCAATGGAAAGATCTTTTACCTTTTATTTATTGAGGGTGTGTTCAGTGGGAACTTCACACTCTTTTAGGTACATTTACACCTAAAAACTGAGACACAGTTTAGTACTGTGTGCCACTGAGGGTTTTAAACATCTCAGCACTTGGGGATTCATACTTGCTTAAGGGTTACTTGACTGTAGAGCTTGGAAAATATCCTCTCATAGCCTGATCAAAACCAGGCACCATTTAGCCCTTCCTTTCTTCCCACCTCCTGTCGTAGATAGAAATACAGTTGGAGCTTTGTTTTATCCTAATTAGTGGTTTTGACATTCAAGAGGAGGCAACTCCACCTGAATGCTGTTGTGTACTTTATAAATTGGCACAATTTTAACTGACATTTGAGTTTTCGCTTTAAAACTCTGAAGAACACTGTGAATACGTCTGAGAAGGTCACCACACAAAACAAAATGCTATGGTGTAACAAGGCCAAAGAAATAAAGTATAAACCAATATCAAGAGTGGAGGTCTCTGCATACTTAAGTTAAATGCAAGTATTTAATGATAAAAGCTTTCGATTACTAGACATCCATCAAGGCCTTTGCGCTTTTCTTCACATCTAAGGTAGTTTGTAACAGTGTTGTTAAGGATTTTTGGGAAATGGCTGGGGCTTATCTGATCAGAACTGATCATAAACAAATTTAAATAACTCTCAGTCTCTAAACGTTTGAATAGTTATATGTTCTTACTCACTCATCTCAGTAGTAGGTTAAATCCAGTGATGAGTCAGGTAGGGTTTTGGTTTTTTACATTTATTTAAAATAAAATTAGATAAAAAGAACAATAAATATTTCTTGTCTTCTATATATTATGTAGAATATATTAAATGCAGTATGCACTCATATATATTAATGTAACTAAACCAAGCATTAATAATCAGGAGCCTTGGTTTCATGCATTATGTCTCTTTATAAAATCTGCAATGCAATGATTCATCTATACACTGTTTCGTAGAACTTTATTCCATTTATTAGGTCATGGAAACAATATGCACAAGGTCAACAAACAATAGCAGCCCATAAAACACATGCTCTGAAATGGCCAGCAGCATTTAAGAACATCCAGTTCTCAAAACATTCACCAGTGAAAAACAGTCACATCATTCTAATTTAAAGATTCTCATATGTCAGACAATTTCAACACGGGAAAACAGGACCAGGGTGTAAAATGCTGTAATACTATCCACATTCAGTATATTTCATGTCTTTCATGTGTTTCTTTGTTACACAAACTGTGAAAATAAAAATTAAAGCCAAATATAATCACTAATTCACAATTCACTGTGGAGCGTGACAGTAAAGCCCCCAATACTCAGTTTGGCTCAGTCAAACCAGAGTTCATACTTGTAAAACACTGTACACTCCTCTTGCGTCAGTCATTAATTAGTATAATAGTGAAAGTAGTAGTATAAATATTTAATAAGAAAATCATGCAGCCACAAAAGCCCAACACATATTGAAAAAATATGTTCATATCCTTTAATAGAATTACAACATTACACCACGGCATACACGAGGACACTGCTACAAAATGAATCAAAAGTGCATTGCATGTTGAATGGATAGAAGTCAAGTAGAGGACAAAGACATAAAGTACCAAAAGGACACTTTGATGGGTAGGTAGATATTCTTCTTTTCACCTCATCTCACCTCATGTTACGTAAGACTGCCTATGAAGGTATGTAAAAAAATGACATAAGGTTGTAAAATGTACAGCATTCTTCAATTAAACATGGGATGAAAGGAGAAATAAAGAGCACTGACAAAGAAGCGCTGTGAGAGTGTTTAAATAGCCCTCATCTGAGAATCGTGTCTCAGAGTTGCACAAAGTTCTTGTTTAACATTCACGAGCAGAGGCATAATGTGAACAAAAGATAAGAAGATGACATCTGATAGACAGCCGGTATTTATTTACATTCATCAGTAGAGCCTTGGCTGGTGGCCCAACCGTTTCCATTGTATCGTATGAGCATGTGACACCATCATGTGCTCTTTAAACAGACTTGACTTGCTTGTTGTACCTGCCAGGTTAGTTCTCCCCTTTGAACAATAATTACACTTAATGTTTGACTTTTTTATGCCTTTAATGAATCTCAATTTTGAAAATTGCTTCAAGCAAAACTCATGATGACATGTTTTTATTATTGAAGCAGGAGAAGGAAAATTTACTTGGCGGCAGCTCAAAATGGCAGCAAGGATTATCTTGTACTTCATCAGTGAACTGCTCACATGTTAACTATCTGTGCCAGTCTGTGATTCTTTGTACCAGAGGAACAACAAAGAAGTTTACAGGAATTCAATGCTTTTCTGTTTTTCTACCTCACTTCTGGCTGATAGAGGCCGTCAAAATGATTATTTATGGCACAATATGTTTCAGACGGCATCAGAAAATAATCACCTGAATACTAAAGCGTTTGAATCTAGGATTTCCAAGGAAGCTGAACAAAGATGTATGACTTATCCAACAGTTTTAACATAGCAAATAATTTCTTCACCCTGTTTTCACAATGCAGCAGATGGAAATTGAGCACAAATGCAAAATATCAAAATGATGATGATGATGAACATTTTTCTATCAGAAACAATCTGTTCTTGTCTTGAAATCTCAAGACATCAAGTGACTCGTTAGCTCACAAGGCAATCAGTACATCACTTCCATGCATTAGTGACTTGAGTGAGAGAGATGAAGCCAGCTGGCAACGCCGGATTCTCCGGACCTCATAAAGCCTGTTTCAAATCATTATGTAATTGTACACTCCCTTCGATGCTGGTGCAGGACTCTCGTTTGTTATTGCCAGCTGAAATGGCTTTTCCCCCTACACAAATAAACACCTCTCAAACAGGTGAGCAAACCAAACTTAAGAGTCCTGACAGTCGAAGATTTAATTCATAGAATAATTTCTAAAAGAGACTTGTGTGTAATTTTGATATGTGATAGCATGTTTGTAGCAGAAAGCTAATTAGATTCTGACAGACATTAACTATCATTGCCTTTGAAGATTATGCCCTGTGGACCAATAAACTGGAGTATACAGATATTTCCATAACTCTCCTGGTACTAATGAACATTCATAACGGTAAAAGCACTGTAATATTACAGAAAGCACTCCTGGCAAACATTATAGGCTTTAAATGGGGCCATCAAGGAGGGTTGAAATGTATCGTGTTTTCTATTTACAAAGAATTAATTATTATTCTGCTATCTTCCTTTCCACAGTGGGGGTTGGGTGGGATATAAGACCCTGTAAAATTCGCAACCACATGTAAGGCCAGTTAGCTTTAAGGGCATATTCCCTTGTGTAATCATTGTTTCTTTACTGAAGAGCTGGAAGCTTCAGAGTCTCCTGGACAGAGAATGGAGATAATCACATGACGCAGATTGGAGGCCGATTGGGTCAACGGTAAAACCTCCCTCATCCCACTGCAGCTTGAGAATAAACACAATCATTGCTTTAAATGCATGGATTAAACCGCAGATGTTACTTTTGAGGTGTATATTAACTGCTGCACGAGGTGAACATATGCTTGGAATAAAAGCTCATAATGCAGAGCCACAAGCTCAATTAGAGCAGCAGTCATTAAAATGAACGCCCCTCATGTCAGTGTGATAGCACTTAGACATTAATGAAACTGAATACATTTGTGTTTTCACGTTAACAAGCAAGGTACCATATGTAAAGCACCCTGCACATTCATAGCTGGCAATAAACTCCAGAAAATATAAATAATGCAAAATTGTTGGTTTCTGAACAACACGCATAATATCGTCCTTGTTTTCACTCACCGATGTTAATAGTTTGGGTGGAATACTAAGGCAGACCGGCTTCACAATCACGTTACATGGAAACAGTAAATATTCATTTTTCACATGGCTTTAGCACATAGCAGTTTCCTATAGGGTCATTATCAGTGAGCTTGTATTCTCACATTTGAAAGGCAAAAGGCAAGACCGGGCAGAGCAGAGTGTACGTAGTTGCTTGATGAGAAGGCAGAGTTGTGGCGTTGGTGTGAGAAATTGTCCCACAACCTGAGGGTTACCATGACAGCAAAAGCATCCATCCTTGAGATGTGTTTGACTGAGATGCCGGACCTCTTGGAATACATTTACAACAGGCCTATGGACGACAATTAGATGATGTTATGCAACGTAGATAACATCAAACCACCTCACTGAAAAAGTTCCTTCACTCTTCATTTGAGGCCTCTGAGAAATTGCACTGTACACCAACATTTACTTCCATTTAGAGGTAACATCAGCACTACAAGGATACAATTTGGCCAATAAGAAGAAAAATGGCAGAATACGTTCAAAGTGTCCAAAGCAATTGCCACAGAATTAAAAGCATGAATTCATGTAGCAAGAAAACATGTCTAAAACACCCAGTAGAATGAATTAATAATGAGACCTGCACACTACACACTGGTGGAAGCTTGTGAACCACAGCACATTGGGTGTAATAAATTTGGCCAACAAGATCTTTAATCTTTTAAGTTCTGTGGTGTCTGTGTTTTGGGCAGCTTGAACATGACTTTCTTCATTCCATTATATCTCTACTCATCAGCCTTGTATCCAAGAAACCTCTCTCTACTTATGTAACTGGTCAAAAGCACCAATCATTTTTCTTTTCCTCCAAAAAGATCTGGCTGGTGAAATTAGGGATGCTTATAATTACACACTGTGTGTTCACAGAATAAGAATACTTTTAATCCAATGCAATAGTAATGACAGTGATAGCTAGAGCCTTGTAACTACAGAAACAGACCAACCTGTCATCCATAATCTCATAATGTTGAACAGCACAGATCTACAGTTCTTTCTCTCACACACTTTGATGAGAGAGAGGCCTATTCTCTTATCTTTTCTTTTATTCTGAAAAGGAAATTACTGTGAAATTAATTGCACAACAGTTTACCAGTGCATTCATATTCAGGAGGAAAAGTGGCAACAAACTAAAAGCTTCACATTTCAGAGTCTTTGCTTGTTATTCAACGAACACCACATACAGTATATTATAACATTTACAACAACTGATACCCTTCATCAGCATTCAGCACAGAAAAACCAATTTCATATAACGACAAACACTAATAAATAAGCTTACAATCAACAATTGGCTCCAGTTTAGGATTTACATTTTTCTTCTAAATGATCACCCATCTCTTTTTAAACAAAGATATTACATTTCATGTAACACACGGAAAAGCTATTTACAACTTAATATAAGCAATTTACAGTTTCTTAATTTACGAACATTCACAAAAAACATTTGTCCTTTAGTTAGATTATGGCTTCAAGTTGTTGAAAGCAATGACTCAAAGATGCACTTCTTCCATATAAGTCAGTTTAGAGTCACGCATATTCAGTTCTTGGCCCTTGGAGATGTTGTTATTTAAACTTAAAACTAGCAATGAGAGAGTTCCTGGCAGCCACGCTGCAGCCAAGTGCGAGTGGTGACACGGTCATGCATCCAAATGCTGGTTAGGTGACTTTAAATGTGTTTTATGCAAAACAAAAGCACCCAGAACAGACTCAGCTGGTTCTCATTACCAGTACAATAGAGACTACTCTTGTCTCCCATTGCACAATGTCCTTCTGTAGTGGACATGGAAAAATCCACATTTTTTTCCACATCCAAGACCATACTTTATCCATTTTAACATCCATCCAATCTGGCTTCAAAGTCACAAGATAGCAATACCTGTAAAAGCTCAACTTAGCTACTTTGTGGTTTAAGGTTGTTGCCGTCGTGGTTCTGCTTGTTAAGAGCATCCAGAGCCGCCTGGGGCTCCTTCTGATCCTCTATGGAGCAGTTGGACACTGCGTTAGCCACGATGCAGAACTTGCGAAGGAGGATCTCCCTAAAGAGCAGATAGACCCACGGGTCCAGGATCTGGTTGAGGGAGGCCAAGCGGATCGCTGTCAGGAAGAAGTTACAGTCCAAATGGACATCCTGGCTCGAGGTGTGATTGGAGGTTGTTGCTGTTGAATTGCACATGTGGGAGGATACCTGGGTAGAGATCATCCTCAGCATCAGACCCTGAGGAAAGAGGCAGAGGACAACAGAGGCATGTCACAGGTCTGTATTATGAAACAAGGCCTAGAGGAGTGTGATGTAGACCTGCTCTATATGAAAACTGTCCTGAGATAACTTCTTTTATGATTTGGCGCTTGACTGAATTATAGAATATTCAATAATCCAATTTATGTTTTTTAGTGAAATTGAGAAAACCTTTCAGAGGTCTATGTTATATCATATGCACACTTTTTGGCTGAGATAATAGTTTTGGATTTTGTGGGCAGGTCCTATTACATTTAATATTTAATGTGGCTGACACTAATCCCAAGACAATCCAGAGCAGCTATAGTATCAAAAGACTTGGAGAAAAACATAATGTTAACACTCTAGGTACTCACTCTCTGCCAGGAGTGCTGTGGCTTCTATAAATATCCTTGGTGAGACTATTAAATATGTGACTGACAATGCATGACCTCACAGCACACTGAGCAGACCCCCCAAACAGGACTCAGCTAAGTAGATTGCTCCTTAATGGAAAATGGCAGCAGTGTTTCAAAGAAATCATACATGGCATAATTTATGTGACTTTCATGCATGGTTTGTATTTGTGCATGTGGAGATGAAGCATCTCCAGAGACACAAAGACAGGCAGCTGTCAATGAAACCCAATTATAATGTGAATTGTGAAACTGGCTACTATATCATATTAAAACAAGAGCTTTAACTGTATGAGACTATGAGAGAATATCATTTCATCGGTTATATCTGGACATGGTTGTATACTAAAAGAAATGTATAGGCAGCAGTGGCCTGCAAACACATACCAGCAGAGGAGACCAGCATATAAGGAGGACGCACATAATCCCTAACAGCTGAACGACGGTCTCCGTGGTGAGCCGTTCCCACTGTTTTGAGGACTGAGACGTGCCAGACTTTGTTTTACAGCGGATAATTAAGCCCCGGATGGTCACTACATTGCAGGAAAGTGTTACAAGCAGAGAGAAAATCCCAAGTGCAGCGAAAGTGATGGAGAAAAACATATTGCCCCAGACATCTCTGTCCCCAGTGCTGATGAAGCACCAGGTGCCCGGCCACTGCTGTGTGTATTCCCCGACCCCTGCAATGGGCAGCAGCGCAAAGAGCAACACCAGACACCAAATGACAACCAAAGTCTGCTTTGTCACACTTGTCTTCATGTGGTTGGAGTACCAGTGGGGGTTTGTTATCGCCATGGCCCTTTCAATTGCCATGGCACTGGCCAAGAAGAGAGCGCACAGGCCAAAAGTTGTCATGCACACACCGAAAAAAGCGCATAAATGTCCGGATGGGTCGATAGTCTTCCAATTCTTACCAGCTCGGTAGACTGATATTACTATTGGACTTGTCAAAAGCTGTCCGAACAGGTCAGTTAACGCCAGAGATCCGATGCAAAGTAAGAACGACCTTTTCCTTTTATTTTCCTTCTTTCTGTAAGAGATACACACCAGAATAAGAGCTAATGTGTTGCCCACCATGCCAGTGATCATCATGGTTATAGGAAAACCCACTGATACAGATCCACAGCTGGTGCCGTCGCACGGTGGTTTGGAGACGTTTGCGCCCTGCATCTCTCCAGTTGTGGTCTGCAAGCTCACTAGATAATCACAGCCGTCCTTAGTCATCCTTTGGGGAAGGCTAAGCCAACATGCAGTGGGAAACCTGTGTGCGCGCCTGGCATCCTCTTGCGTTTAAAACTCCTCCAAATGAATGCGGTGCGTAAAAGCGCGTCGGGTCCTCTACAAGCTGGAGGCGGGACTACCTAGAAAAGCGCTAAGAGGAAGCAAACAGTTGACGCTGCATATGGTTTTACATACACTTACTAAATCATTAACCCGACTTTTAGAGACCTCAGATGTCGGTTTTGAAGGGTTATTAGTTAATCAACTTTATATTTAAAAGCATAGGCTGCGACACTTTACAGTAACACTATCGTACCTGCTTTGGACCCCACGAGTCAAGATGCTAGAGATTAGAGCACCATCCGGACTCATTTGATGAGATGTGGGAATAAATAAACAGATCTGTGCCTCTTAGGAGGAGAAAGTAGTGAAACACTGGCCGTAAGCCTCTGGAAGCAGAGCTAGGGTATACTGACAGGATTAAAAGTGGGCTGTATTAAATCATTTGGCTACCTCCGGATGATGATCATTAGAGGGACATTCACATTGAAGGAAATTAAGTTGTGCATCATTTCTCATATAAATATCTAAGCCAATTAATATGATTAAACCTGAATACGTACGGTTTATCTTTTTATAAATGCGTTGTGCATTCAGTAAACTCTGGCTCATATTGCTTACAAGAGAAATGTCCATATTACATTAATATTGTGTATCTATTACCAATACACAAACAGCATGTGTGGCACTGCATCTGTTCAAAACTTTGCAGCAAATCAATTAATTTGAGTCTGAATGCAGTAAGTTACATTTCATAAGTATTCAGCCCTTCTGTTATTCATTAACAGTATATTTAATCTTACACTCAATACCTAGAGTAACAAGTGCCACCTGTTGACCGGAATGAAAACAACACAACAGTGTGGAACATGTTGAGTATTTAATTACTCCGGATTCACGCGTGAGGTTGAGATTAATCGAAATAAGCCTGAGTGCTTCCTATCATCAGTCAGATTGTACATTAGAGTTACTTTTTACATGATCATCTATAAACTGCAGGGGAGTCAATCACAATGGATTAAGTGCTACTGTAGTCTATAGCGATGAAACATCATATTTCATGTCATTTGACGAAGTTAAAACATTTGAAACCCACTTCAAGGCGTTACCACAGCAACGCAAGTAACGACTTTACCTAGTTACCGCAGGTCAGCTGTGAAAAGCCTCTTAACGTTATACAATGGAAAATGTAACTCATGGACTATTAATAAATTAACCAAGTACTAATTAAGTACAGCTCATATTAATGTAAAATAACATTACTGAAAAATAAATTAACTTTCACTGGACTGCTGAGTTAATCTCAACTGTCTGTATTTACTGTAATTCACTAAATAATGGCTAAATGTCAGATTAATCTCAAGTATAGTGATACGGGATTACACACATACATCTGTCAGATTTAACAACCATTTAAAGTGCTAAATGAATTAGGTTTCTTCTCCCAGACACACAAGGAAGTAACAAAAAAAACACAATGTTGACAGGATTTTATTTACACGTGTACATTTGAGTTTTTACCAATAAAAAGACTGTATTGCCACATTCTACCATAAATTGGGACATACTGCATGTTTATCCTTTAAACACTAATCTGAAGCACAAAAATCTGTAATCTCTTGAATTCATTAGTTACCCAGGTGTCAAACAAACAGGAATAAGTGAGTGGTAAACTAGGCGTCAATTGTGTAAAGAAAAAACACAACACTTAAACCTGAACCAAAGAATGTTGAACTCGCTGCCATTTACTTAAAACAAGCAATATTAAAAAGTAAAATACTTACCTTGAAAACACAAAAGAAAAATTATATATTTATCAAGAAAATAAAACAAATGGGGCCAAAATTCATTGCTACATCTCTGGTATTCTAAATTGGTGCTTAAGTACTTCACCTTTTATTCTTATTTGGAAATAGGTGTTTCCTAGGGCCAAAAAAAGTAATAAAAAAAAATGTTCACTTCAATTTCTCCACAGATGAGTAGAATGAAATGTACTGCCACGAAGATATTCAGCAGAATGGGTTTAAAATGGGATACAGCCTCTTCACAGTATATCTGATTTTCTTACAGGACCAAACATTTATGTTTATTGGAAACCTGTAATTACAGACACTTGTCACAGATTGGGGGTTGTGTGGTTTTAAAAAGGGACATGTAATGATAACGGCAGAGAAGTCATGTTGCCGCTGTCTTTTTTTTTGTTGGTGTTGTTGTTGAGGGAAATAAGACTTTTCTATGAAAATGAACAGCATACTGAAAGGATGTGGTTGTTTTTCCTTGCAACACAACATGCACTTGTACTAAGGTTCCTTTTCTTGTCTTAAAGGCTGTAATAAAGTTATTTCTTTTTTGAACTGGAGCCAGAATGGGAGGATCCAGAGGACTGGCCGCCGCACCTGAAATCACACAAACACCATGGGAAGAAAAGCACAGGTCAGCACACGTCAGCAGGCTCGGCTATTAACATTCAATTATGCATACTTGAAACAAATACAAGGGCACAACGTGTATATATATATATATATATATATAAAAACAATACAACAAAAAGGCAAAAAACGTATTTCTGTAAATCTGAATTCCCTTAAGCGAGGCGACAGTTGGCTAATAATAATCAGTGCCATTGTGGTATTCCACAGAAACCCAAACCTTTCGGACGAATGTGATCTAGAACGCTTCCTCTTTCTCCCTCCAGATGAGGACCTGGAGCGACTGCGCTTCTGTGTCCTCTCAGGTGAGGAGGAGGGTGAGCGGGACCTCTTCCGGGGAGAGGAGCCCTTTCCAGACCTGGAGCTGGATCTTTTGGAGGAATAAACCAAGTAGTGAGGTCAGTAAGGTCAAGACAGAGTCTCACCAGTGTGGGTATTTATCAAGCTTCTCTGATTTAAGAGCCCTTAATTATGGACAAAAAAAAAAAAAAAAAGGTAGAGAAAATTTTTTTACTCACGATGTCGTAAGACTCACTAAATAAAGTGTCCTCAAAATGGTTTATAATCTAGGAAATGTTTAGCTTTTAACGGAATAAACTGACTTTAACTGAGAAGGTAAAACCAGCACGACAACTGAGAGACGCTTGATTAAGACCCCAAGATGTCTATTCAGACTTGAGCCTTGCTAACATTAAAACTCAGCTCAGGTATTCAAACTGTGTACTTTCTATACTCTCAGGCCTGAGGGAAACTTAAAATAACCCTACATCAAGTGATTCAGAGCCGTCACAGCACTACCCAGTCTTTGTTAAAACTTAAAACTAGGGAATAGGACTGTTCTGGAGCTTTCAGCCCCGTACATACACTCTCTAAGGGAGAGAGTGCATGTCACCTCATTCACCTGGAGTGGGACCTCGAGCGAGATCCAGACCTGGAACTGGATGAGCTTCTAGAGCGGGACCTGAAAGACAAGAAACAGAACCTTTCCAATATTTTCTGAACAAGACAAATAAGCAAGAGGGTTCACATGGCAATGCACAGATGTGATATTTAACTTTAAATTTAGAGAAATACTTAAACTATTCTTGCCTGTGTAGCACAACTGTTGACTACATAGACTAACTAAATGTGGGGGTTTGGAGGTGTAACAACCAAAAACAGAACAGACACCTAAACTACACCTGTATGCAACAACTCAATCAGAAGGGATAGCAGGTGAATTAATATATAACAAGTGCAAAAAGGAGAGTCAGAGTGCATTTCAAGACTACAGTATGAATAACGCATTCCTTCCATCTGAAGTCAAACAAAACACAAAATACAAGTAAGATCATTCAGTCTGCACGTCCGAGTTTTCTAACACCACAGAAGGGGAGGAGTTGAGAAAAGAGAAAAACAACAAATCAGCATTACAGGACATGTAATTGATGTTGATCAGTAAATCAGAAGGAAGATTGAGCTGATACTGACATTTTGCCCGGAGTTACCCTTGACCTGTACCCTTTTACCTGGACCTCGACCGTGAACTGGAGCTGGAGGAGCGAGAGGACGAGCGGGAGCGGGAAGAACCAGAGCGGCTGCCCTTTTTCTTAGCTGGCTTATCATCATCGCTGGCGTCCAGGTCGTACTTCGACAGGTCTCCATCTTCGTCTTCCTCTTCATCGTCATCATCCTGGAAAAGGAAGCATTTGTTGTTGTTGTTTTTTTAAACACTATAATAATGCTGGTGTTATGATATTTTGTCTTTTGAATTTCCGGCTACAGTCACCAATCTTACATCTAATTTGTATTTGGAAAGATCCCCTTCTTCCTCCTCTTCCTCGTCTTCTTCCTCCTCATCTGCAGGCGCAGCTTTAGCTACTTCTTTCTTTTCACTTTCTTTTGAGGAAGATGTGCTGTTGGTCTTTCCACGAAACTTTTTCTTCTTCCTACCAAACTGTGTATTTAAAACAACATATAATTGATGACCTCTCACAAAACAAATGTAATATCATCAGGACACATTAAGATTCTACCTGCCAAACACTAATATGGTTACATGTGATTTACAGTGTGTAAAATGTTTCAATTATCAAACATTACACTTTTAGGAAGGACTCACTTCATCATATTCGCCGTCAGATTCCTCCCGTTCAATATATTCCACATTCTCCCTTTCATTGAAACCTCCACCATAACCTGAAAGGCAAAGACAACTAAAAATTAACAAGTATTCAAAATAGAGCCCAAACAATATATCTGTTGACATTGACCTGTCACAGACACATCGGTATCTGCGTATATTTTATCCGATATTCTCCAATATAAAGTGTTTTTTCCACATAGAAATATATAAAATGTATTAGAAAATGCTTGTTGTAATATACTGGTGTCCAGCAGAGTGCGCTGAGATTTTACAACACTGTGGCAAGCAGCACAGAGTGAGAGAGAAGAAGCAGCTCTCAGCAATGTCAACTACAAACACGTTGACAATGTATAGGACAAATTATTTAACATGTTAAAAATATTCAACTTCAAATTTCTTTACTAAATTCATTTGTTTAAGAAAGCAGCCTTCTCAGTACCTGTGCATAGTCACATTGGTGCAAAATCCACCTATTTCACATAAATCCACATATATGGTATATTTCTATTCAAGCTCAGAAAGTCTCTGTATCAGCGGTCATTGGAGAATTCAGGCTCTAATTCAAAAGCAAACTACATATTTTTTTGGGGTACCTGTTCTCTCTTCAAGCTTGGCATATTTCGGTGTGTTACACATGTTGCACTCTGACCTTCTAGCCCAATTCACATTGCCACATCTGTATGAAAACAAGAGGGAAGGAAAATAAACATCTGTCAAACTAAACATATTCCAAATTAAAATGTATGTCGAGCTTAGTAAAATGCTTGGTTTTCCTATGTATTTCGATCATTACTACTTGCTGCAGTGTCTGATTAATCAAACATTCGGACCGTCACTTATAGTTTACCACTGACGTACGTTTTGCACTGCCAATCATTTGCACTGAAGAGGCCTCGACTCTTCTCGGCCAGAGTTTTCCCAATCTCTGTCCCTCCTGCTTTCATCATCTTTGCCTCTGTGGTTTTCTCTGTGGAAAACAAACCAACGTTATTAATACAGCAGCCTTTTGAAAGCATGCATTCAACTTCTGGAAGATATAATAACTTGCAGACAAGGACTCACCCCTGCCACATCTGTTACAACTAGTTCTTCTAGCAAAGTTCACGTTTCCACACCTGCAGAAGCACAAAAATACATATATTACAGATACAACATAAGGCTTGAGCTTGCTACTCACTGATTCACGCATATGCTTAGTGTACTACAAGCTAGATAGGTTAGTGTAAGTGTATTTGTCATGTGCCACACCATTAGCATGAAGTGTTTCGTTGCACACCCACTTCAAAAGGCCTGCGCACTGACAACTGCAGCTGGCTCGTCTGTCACTTAAGACGTTTTTAGTTCACAGTTCACTTGCAACACGATATTGCTGAATACCCAAGTTAGACTCTACACTCGTGACAACTTGGCTTCTACAACATTGTAAATACAGCCCGCAATAGTGAGAGGGGACTCACCCCAAACCTAAGCACGGAAGCTAACTGTGGCTAGCTGGCTATCTTCTAAGTCTACGCACAATAACTTATATTGAGACTCCCTGACAACGTAAATCCAAAACGTAAATTAATGCCCACTTGAAGTGTCTGTGGGTTTTTTTTACGCGTACAGTGTCGGTAATAGGGGAGAAATACGGTTAAAGTGAGCTAGTTTATGTAGCTAGTCAATGTTAGCGGGAACCACGTCCCAGAAGGCCTCAGCTACGAAGCTAACCTGTTAGCACATTAACGCTGATCAAACATCTGCTGCAACATTTAACAAAATATTTAACTATATATTTAACAATGTACTGCACTTACTTTTTATCGGGACAAATCCAGTCGCCATCGCTGACTCTGAAACTCTTCCCCGACATTTTTATGTGCCTGTTAACACTGACTGGCTCTCTGGCAGGGTGTGCTCAGTGTGATCATGCAGCGATAGTTAGCCTCCTCCTCCTCCTCCTCCTCCTCTTCTTCCTCCTCTTCCTCCCCCTCCTCCCAGTGGTGCTGCCTTCAGGTGCTCCTCGGTAGATCTTTAAACTCACCTTTCTCTGCTCGTAATTGTGGCGTATTGTGCGCGGTGAAAACGGCCAGGCTGGTTTGATGACACCAAAACATCCTTTGTGCAGCAGTGTGAGAATATATGCAGCCTGTTTTGTACTACTGGCACTTTTATATATTTTTTGACACAAGTGGTTATTATTTCAGAAAAAAAAACATGCAAATGCAAACCAGTTTTTCTTGAGAAACGTGGTACCATGCAAATAAAGTGTTTTAATCAGATAATAGTTTCTTAAAATGTAATGGTATTTGGATTACAGGGTTTTAACAGTTTCTCAATAATAAAGGTTAACAGTATTAAGTTACATGACATGCAAATATTACAGTAAACATGGGTTATTTAGGAATATTAAGATGATATACAGTATAAAGTAGCTACAGACACACTGTTCACCCATTTAAGCACAGCCTATCATACTTTTTTTTCTTCATTGCATACTTGAATAACAGTTGGGTATGATTAATATTGGGGTTTAAAAACTCAGCATTCACTTTCTTAATTTACAATGATCAGTTTTTACCTTTGAATGAAAACAGATGAAAGACTGAGACAGTGGATGTCCAGGTGACAGTGATTTAGCTCATGGCTGATTAAGGATCTGATTTAAATGGTCAGTCTTGTTGACTCCATCCACAATGGATGAGTTTGATGTTGTCAGTATTTTGCAAAGCCAGTACCTCCCACTAGATGGCAGTTAAGGCTAACGTTAACGTTTACTGCTGCTCATGTTCACAGACCCCTCTGTTTTGTTACGGACTGTCACTGTTCACACGTTTCCAGTGATTGTGCTTGTTCATCTAGATCAGGGGATGTGCAAAGTTCCTGTGTGGAAAAAAAAAACACCTTCAAGCCTTTGAAAGGGTTAGAGCAGTGGTTCTCAACCTGGGTCCAGGGGCCCTTAGGAGTCCTTGAGGGGGTTTCAGTGGGTCCCTGGGAAAAATGGAAAATATATTTTAATTCCACTATCATTTAATTGGCTAAAAGTTAGCAGAATGAAATAATGTATATGAAGGATTGTGTTCATAGGTTTCACACTCTTTACTGTTAATCTGCTGATCTAGACAGCTAAATACCTAAATCTTATCAGACGGAGATCCATGAGACTACATATTATCAAATACAGGTCCGCAGTCTGATGTGTATCAATTTGGGGGCCCTTGACACCAAACAGGTTGAGAACCACTGGTCTAGAGTGTGTCTGCTTACTAACCTGAATTACACATACAAATGTATCTATTAATTATATATCATAGTTGTCTTTTGAACAAAGCAGCAGTAAATATGATTAAAGAAACATTTAAGAGATCATTACTGTATACTTGTAGTAATATTTATAGATTATTCAAATGTACTGAAAACTGTCAAGCTTTCAGTACATGTATTTCAGTACAGAATAGGTGAGTTATTTCTTTGCTTTGAATTGTGGTCAGGTCTTGCATAAGCCAAAACTTCCACACAAAAATGGTCAAACTGTTTAAGAATAAAAATGCTAATTCTTACATCTTACAGGTCCTTCAAACGTTTGGTAGTATATAGCAGCTGATAGTGAAATAATGACACTTGAAATTTTTGACAATCATTTTTATAGATATTAAAGCCGTGTAACACTTGATTATAGTGACATACTTTAGCCCAAACTGAAGTGTTGGTTAAGTTGATGAAAGTGTCAGTAGCATGGATATTAGTAGAAGAAGCACTGATCTCTTACAGAATAATTTAGAACAGGGACAAAGTCCTCTCACGGTTTTCCAGTGGTGTGCTGAAATAAAATGAGTAGATCAGGAGTTTCAGTTTATGCACAGTAAGAAATAAATCTGTCTGCTCTTCTGGATGAAGATCTGGCTGAGGACTTGATAGATTATTCACACAGAATCTGAATCAGAATCAGATTCTTATCTTTTATTGGTCAGGTATGGGCACACATGCAAGGAATTTGACTCTGGTTTTACTTTGCTCTCATTGTACAAACACATAATAAACATAAATAAACAGAACAACAAGCTAAATGAAACAGCCAAAGACTAATATGTACAGTTATACACATATAAACAAAGAAAAAACAATAACATTTGTAGACAGTAGACAATAGTGCAAATGCTGCTGAAATAAATATTTTACGTGCAGGTTTCTTTATATACAAGTGGATATGACAGTATATACAGTATACACAACATAGGTCGATGTATTAGCGTGATAGTATTTATGTTTTTTTTTAAATAAAATTGTCATTTGTTCTAATCTCATATGAGCACAGTTGGTTTATAAACCAATATGCATTGTAGAAATAAAAGCCTTAATCATCTGAAGTTTATCACCCTTAGTTCTTTAGTCACAAATTACAGCAATATTGGAGAGACCATTTTTTGCTACAGAACTGTCAATCAGATTTGACCTCGCCAGAACAGGGTCAGTCCAATAACACTCACACAAAAACATTTCCCTAATTCCTCGTGAGATAAATTCACCGCTTTTAATATGAGGGTAGTTAAGATGCAGGAAGTAGCTCACCATATGTTGTTGAGATGTAAATGCTATTAATGAGGAGGAGGCTTTAAGTTGCAGTTATTTCTCATGTGATAACACCTAACAACTGCTACAATTTAAGTACACACCAGAGCATAGGCTGCTAGAATCGTCCTTGTCCACCCAATCTGCTGTCGGTCAAAGTCAAAGACCCTTGGAGGTCGCTGTCACAGCTGGTCCATGACCCTGAGGCCACACCAATAGCCATTTCGGTGTTTCAACTGGAGTCTATTACTTTCTTTTCGCTGCCCTCTGTTCCTTTTGCCTATTTTTGACACGGGTGAAATTACATTGTTGAGGCACGTCCCTTATGTCTCGGACAAGATGGGTTTATATAATTGAGTACACTTGAGATTAACTGAACATGATTTTTTAATCATACATTGTTTTAATCATTATGTATCTGTTAAGGAGACATGCACTTGATTTATGAGCTCCACACAAAGTTTATTGGGACTAGGGGCTCGGCAGAAATAAGGCATCAAAGGCGAAAGAGGCGCATTTTATGATTCAGCCTCTTGCTGTTAGAGGAAATGACTGCTGGAGTTTTTTCAGTATAATTCAATTCATAATATCATACACAGAGGCCAGAAGTTTGATATTGCATGAAAACAACAACCTCTACACACACAGACTGTTATTTGTTCATAATGAGGCTTCCTCTCTATTCTATCCTGAGTTTTCTTTACTTCATTGAAGTCATTTTTCATAAAGGAACACTCTTTTCTTCCTCACTGATAGCGCAGGAGCCATCTCTACTCACAGGTTTCAGCTGAGGATGTGCTTTCTGCCGGCTTTCAGCATTGCACAGAAAAGAATGAGGGGAGATATGAAGCAAATGAAGCCATGAATAACTAATAAGGAGACACTGCCAGTGCTGTGGTATGTTTGTTTGCGGCACAGAGTTGCATGAAAGATTCAGAGAGGAGTCAGACAATTAAATAGCACTTAGGTAAACATTGTCCAATTACATTAAAGTGGCATCACTGGCAGTAATGCTTTCTTAACTTTTACTGTGTCCTTCTCTGGCCAACGTACAGCCCACCATCTGATTATGTCCTGGGTCAATAGCACTACTAAGAGAGATTTTTCATGGGTGTCAATGAGGCTTTGGCTAGGCTGACACCGTTTTCTAGCCCAGTGGCTGGTTACGGCTGAGGGTTCATGCACAACAGAGTCTCTGACAGAGAAAGGCAGCCATGTATGTAGGTTTGGAAAAACCTGATGCAAGCCACCAGGGCTTTCCAATACTGACAGATGGCAGGGAGCTGTTCCCGAGAAAAGGGGTAGGGTGAGGGTGAAGACTTGGAGGCTGGTGATCGTTGCTGCGCTCCACCCATAGCTCTTATTTCAATATCATGATTCAGCATTAATCGGGGGGGGGGTGACATGTATTTCCCACATGGCAAACAAAAGTCAACTGTGGG